TCGAGGCGCTGACCAACCTGACGGGCAGCCTGCGCACCAGCGCGGTCGAGCTGCTCTCGTGCGCGCGACGCGCGCGGCAGGCGGAGGCGTGTGCGCGCGGGCGGGCTGAGCGGCCCTCGCCCTCTCGCCCTGTAGGTACCGCTGGCTCGACGGCCTGGCAGCCGCCAAGCGTGGCCGCGCGATGCTGGTGCGCAGTGGCGGCGGCGGGCCCGCGGCCCGCGGAGGCGCGACAAAGGGCGGGCGACTCGGCGTCGGCGACGACGGCGCGGTGAGCATCCTGCCGGCCGGCGCGAGGAGACGGTCGTGAGGTATGCACGCGGTTTTGGAGACGGCGCTCCAGGGCCAGGGCGCTCAGAAGAAAAACTCGCCACGCTGACTTTTTATTCACGATGACCAAACACGATGAACCAAACACCGCCGCGTCGGAGCACCGCCGCGCCACCGCCGCCGCCCGAGACGTCAGACGACAGACGATGGACGTGGACGGCTGGCAGGTCGTGATCGCCGACGGGCACGCGCGACGCGGTGCTGCCCGAAGGCATGACGCACCTGGACGACGAAGACGCGTTCTACGGCGTTCTCCACGCGCGCCGCACCACCCTCGTCTCTGTCGTCTGCCCGGGTAGCCTCGTCTCCATCGGCAGCTGCACCTTCAGCAACTACTCCGCCCTCTCCTCTGTCGCCCTCCCTGCCGGCCTCACCTCCATCGGCAGCAGCACCTTCAGCGACTGCTCCGCCCTCACCTCCATCACCCTCCCTGCCACCCTCACCTCCATCGGCGACAGTGCCTTCCACCGCTGCTTCGCCCTCACCTCCATCAACCTCCCTGCCGGCCTCACCCCTTCTGCCGCTGCTCCTCCCTCGCCTCCATCAACCTCCCTCCTGGCCTCACCTCCATCAACAAACGGGCCTTCCACAGCTGCTCCGCCCTCACCTCCATCACCCTCCCTGCCACCCTCACCTCCATCGGCGACAGTGCCTTCCACCGCTGCTTCGCCCTCACCTCCATCAACCTCCCTGCCGGCCTCACCATCAGTAGCCACGCCTTCCGCAACTGCTCGTCGCTCACCTCCATCACGCTGCCGCTGCCCAATGGCCTTTTGGTCGGCGACTGTGCTTTCTTCGACTGCCCCCTCGACGACGATGCGAAGGCAGCAGTGCAGGCTATCAACTTTTGGGCGGTGCGGCCTCCAATCGACGCGCGGGGGCACGCCACTGTGCCGGAGGGCGTCGCCACCATCGCCGAGCTAGCCTTCCGCGAGTGCTCCTCCCTCGCCTCCATCACCCTCCCTGCCACCCTCACCTCCATCAACAACTTCGCCTTCTGCGACTGCTCCGCCCTCGCCTCCACCAACCTGCCCGCCGGCCTCACCTCCATCGGCTACTACGCCTTCTGCCGCTGCTCCTCCCTCGCCTCCATCAACCTCCCTCCTGGCCTCACCTCCATCAACAAACGGGCCTTCCACAGCTGCTCCGCCCTCACCTCCATCACCCTCCCTGCCACCCTCACCTCCATCGGCGACGGTGCCTTCTGCCGCTGCTCCTCCCTCGCCTCCATCAACCTGCCCGCCGGCCTCTCCTCCATCGGCAGCTACGCCTTCGGCGGCTGCACCGCCCTCACCTCCATCAACCTCCCCGCTGGCCTCACCTCCGTCGGCTACAGCGCCTTCAACCGCTGCTCCTCCCTCTCCCGCGTCGCCTTCCCTGCCGGCCTCACCTCCACCCTCCACCGTGGCGCCTTCCACGACTGCTCCTCCCTCGCCCGTGTCATTGTGCCAACCGCCGCCACTAGCCCCCCCGTCCTATTGGCTACGGAACCCCCTACCCTCCCCCCTCCCGAGAGCAACGAGCGCTTGCGGCGGGAGGCGCTTGCATTATCCCCACCCTCCACCACCGTCCTCCGCCTCCCGCCCAGAAGGATGCGCCGGTACGAGGCGGTGGACGGGGCTCTGGCCTACAAGCGCTGCCGCCCCCTCCTCTACGGCT